GACCTCAATAAGAGGCAGACATCCGGTTGACCTGAACCAGTGGGATATTATTAATAACCCAATCGGAGTTGTGCTGAAACCTGTACATGTAGTGCGTATTACACGACACCCCAACTCTAGGCATTTCGGTGAGCCAAGACATCTGCGCGTTATGCTGAACCATGGGGCGAGCGTTATCGAGTTAACCGCACCTGAGAGGACTACCGCAAGGAAACTTCAACCAGAACCATACGTCTTCACGGGGTTCCTGAAACTAAAGCATGTAATGTGCATGAAGTAACAACCTATGATAAAGAACAGTGGCGTTATATTCGTGAAACACTTTCCTTGCATAATGTGTTAGCGAAATCCGTGTCACGACTGCGTACCTCACCGAACTACAAAGGATGTGGCCCGAGAGTGTTGAAGGTGGTCCTTCAGTCAAAACATATGGTAGCACGGATGCTAAAAAGCTGGTACATGTTCCGTTGCAGGCTACCATCTGAGGTTCGGCTAAAGACAATCAGCGAAATGCCTCCTAGAGATGATATGTCACTCAAGGAACCCAACGCGATGGGATCCATGGAAGAACGTTGCACCAGTAGTGTGACGAATGAACCCATACAACCTGTAGAAGATGATATTGACGAGCCAATTTACACTGTACATCGAAGGCTAGACACGGGACTAACTACACGGACGATGAATAAGACGTTAAACCCTTCACCAAGTACACATCGAAAAAACGAGTAGTCGCCGGCCACTCACTGGTCGGCGAAACTTCACGTATGAGTTGTACAACCTCCGAAACATTGCTTAAATCTGAGAAACTTTCATATATGTACACTAACGCCCAAAGACTCCTCAGTAAAATTATCGAACTTCGACTACGTCAGGTTGCGAATGCTTGGGACCTAATTCATATTACCGAAACTTGGTTACATCAAGTGGTGACTGATGCTGAGGTTGAGATTTCCGGAATGTCACTCATCCGGAACGGTCTCCCCAGCAGATGAGATGGGGTCCTACTCTACTATCGAAATGAGCTACAATGTACAACCGTTAATGATCTGAAAACACACGTTACCGACTCACTCTGGTGCCGTCTCTGACTAAGACACAACGACGGATGTCTCGTAGCTGTCGTTTACCGTCTTCCCCCCAACGCCCACTCCGGAAATGGATGCCCGCTTGCTACGTGGTCTGAACAGAGTAACACACACTATGTACACTGACATTCTCATCTCCGCAGACTGAAATCTACGCGATCTGGAGGTATCAGCATCACCCAGTGAACAGTTCAAAGCAGACTTGCATGAACTGATCGTTAATATTCCCTAGCACAATCATGTCACCAAGCCCAATAGATTGAGGACAGCAAATACTGCGGCCATATTGGATCTTGTGCTCACGAATGAGGAGCCCATGGTTGACAATTTAATAATAGATAGTCCATTAGGTCTCGGTGATAACCTTCAAGAATGTGCATTATGCAGCGTATCCAATTGAACACTGGGAAGTAACTCATACAGTCACATTCTACCAGGTATTGAAAGAACTCACCGACGCGGCTTCCTGGAAATCCTCGAACAATAGGCACCTTGAAAACCTTCGGACAGAGTTCATTAATAGACTCATTGAAATCGTCAACAGAGCATCCGAGATTAAGTGCCTTAGTGCCGCAAAAATACCTTCAATTTTAAGGAGCAGCACTCGAAAATACCTGGCGTGCCTACAAGATTAACCCTGACTCAGTGACTTGGAGCAATTTCTTGAACCATCGCAACTATTGCACTGTACTTGTCCGTGAGGACAAAGTAACTTATCAACAGTGTCTAGCCAAAATATTCATGGCAAACAACAAGCTGCTGCATAGGCATGTCAACAGGCTTCATAAAGTGAAGCATGTCATCCTGCCAATTTTCCCGAAAGCAATAGCGTACAAAGCGTCGAAGAAGCAACCAATGCTCTGCCGCTACAATACGCCTACATTTTCGAACTCGCAGCCTCTACCGGTCCCATAATATGCACATTACCGACTCTGTTTACACATGTAATTTTTAACCCAGCAATTGTGCTAACGAAGTTACTCTCACTGCGCCATCATAGCTCACTGGGAGCCGAGAACATCCACCCGAAAGCACTGAACGCTACGGCCACCAAGCTAGCTGAACCATTGTCACAGTTCTTCCAAAGGTGCTTTGATGAACAAAAAGTCCCCATTATTTGGAAGCGTGGCATTATCACCCCAATTTGTAAAGGCGGTAACCATTCAGAGCCTGCAAACTATCGCGCAGTGGCTCGGATCCTTGTACTGGCGAAGGTGATGGAAGTGGTCGTCTCTGAGGCTTTAATGGACTACCCGGAAAATGCAACGTCTTTGTACCGGAGCAGCATTGCTTCCGTCAACACCGGTCATGCACCACCAATCTATTGATTGCACGAGGTAGTTGGACGGAAGTGGCCGGTGATGGGGTCAGAGTTGACGTCATCTATCTGGACTTATTCAAAGCTTTCGACCGCCTTGATCACCACCGCATCCTATTTCACCGGTTACTGAGCTACGGATTTGGAGATCCTCTGCTTGGTTGGATTGACAACTTTCTTCACCAACAGCGTTTTCAAATACGCGTTAGGGGATCATTCTCTAAGCCGACGGAGATTGAATGTGATGTCCCACAAGACTCAGTGCTGGGACCGCGCTTATTTTCGTCGTTTATCAAGACCTGGCAAGAGTTAGCTCTTCACATTTCCCGCTTTTCGCAGATGCGGTCCAGACATGGCGAGCGATTTGTAACTATGAAGATCATGTTCTACTCCAACATAACCTGCTTTGCATTTACGAATGGTCAACGTGGAACCTGCTTCAGTTGAACATAGCTAATTGCAAGGTGATCCATCTGCGTCACCAGGCGGTGAGCGCTTACAAGCTTGGAGACCACACCTTGGAGAAGGTCTCTCAGGAGCGTGACCTGGGTGTACTGGTACAGGAAGAACTTGGATGTTCAAAACAAGCAGAGAAGGCAACAAGAACCGGCAACCAACACTTCAGCCTGCTTCGCCAAGCCTTCGGTCGGTTTAAACCCTCAATCTTACCCCAGGCGTTTGACGCCTACGTGCTACAGCAGGTAGGATAGGCTATCCAGGCGTAGCAGCCGTGGCAAAAACAGGATCTTGTTGCCCTCGAGACTCCTCAACGCAAAGCAACTAAGAACGTCAGGGGCCTGCCTTATCTGCCCTATCAGCTTAGTGTGAAATCTGTAAGGATGTACAGCAGTCGATATCGGCTTTTGCGGGGGTTCTCGTAATGGTGTACCAAATGCTGAAGAACCCAAACCCCATTTGCTGCCCGCTGCTGGAATTGAACCACAACACTAACCTAAAAGGTCATCCTTTGAAACTGACAATTCAGTGTAGGCGGCTTGAATGCCATGGAACTTTCTTTTCCCTCCGTGTGTGCCAGTCTGGGAACGCCCTCCCTAATTATGTCGTCTCTGCGCCCAATCTGGCGATATTTACCGAACGAGTTGATGATGCATTTTCTCATCTGCATTTCATTTTATGACTTGTTAGCCAGGGGATACAAAACGCAATCAAACGGTGTCCTGCCGAACGCCCAACCAAATGATTCATGGATTTATACGTTTAATACGCGAAGATCTCCGCTATTCCACATAAGTCTATGGTGAGTCCACCACAACGATTTTCACTTTATCATGCAATGCACTTCTCGCGAAGATTTCTATCCTACAGGACTTGTTAAGCAACGCTTATTTACCCGTAATAAACCATTGTTCCATTGTTCACAAATCTAATTCCACAAAGCTAGTAGCACAAAACATTAGCATGACAAACCATCCATCCCCAGTGGAAAAGTAATTTTCGGGTGAGCCAAATCGACTGTTAGCGTTCTAACATAATTCTATGTCACTTAGTGCTGACCGGTCTGAACTTACTCCATTTCACTGATATTTGTGCGATTTGTGGGATGGATTTCCCTCTACATGAAACATTTGTGGTTGTCCAATGCTATATACGGTTTTATTTATCAAATTCATCATTAAAAATTGCGTGTAAGCATTTGCTGGTTAATGTTGAGCTCAGCGAGTACACTTGGAGTTTGCAGTATCTTCTGTTTGGTCTTCCAAATTATCAAACTTATTAAGTAGTAATCCAAACAAAAGGTTTACTCGCGCAACCACTATTGACATTCATCAAGTTCTAGTCAAAGCTGTACATGAAGTCATAATGAAAGTCTGTTGTTTAAAGTCCGAACGGTTGATGCTGTTTGGAATTTGCACTCCGCGCAGCATTCTGTACTGCACCTCACCAGTTAACAATATCGATACCTCTGACTGGGTGCTTATGAGATAATGACGGTTATTCCCGCCAAACAGAATTTGGTTTCGATTGTTCGGCCTAACCTGCTAGATAAAAAAGCTGATATCTCAAAGATGTATGCCTATAAACTTGCTAGTTTACAACAAAAGCGTAAGCTAGGCGAATCATTACTCTTGAAAGCTAGGGCGTTTCCACTAAGGTTCAATTAGTTAAGTTTTATTTTTAAAAACTGAAAAATATAAAAAGGATAAGTAAGAGTTATATCTAGTTTAAGGCGATCCAGGGCTCTGTGATATATTTTGTTTTAACCAGACTCGTCACTTAGACCAAAACTTAACAGGCGCTGAATAGATTTATAAGATTCGTACTGTCGGAAGGGAAGAATTATTTTCTTTATTTTGTACATATTTAGCTTGAATACATTCTTTTCTTTTCAAATGCCCTAAATTATTGCCATTTAATATAGAATTCCACACTTATGCACTACTGCATCATGCAACTTGTTGCTTTATTCAGCTGACACCCGTTTTGACCTAGATTTACTCCATATACTTGCTACAGGCACGGGAGCAAGTACGTAACATATACCATGTAAAGGCGATTGGCCAAATTGAGTCATGCTGCTATTGGTTGAACGGCCATAGCTATTCGTAATATAGGCAGGTTTACAAGCTAGCTTTGACCTTGCACCCAAAGAGGATATCTATACCGGATTGTTGGTTAGATCACCAATTTTAAGTATACAAAATGAAGTTAGAACTATCAAGGTACGTTGTTTCAACTATAAATACACGTTGTTGTCAGTCGCTTGGATTAATGTGGTCGTTATGTTCATATTTAATTATATGCGCGAATTTGGTTGAGAAATGCTTTTTAACTTTTTTATTGGCCATTTTTAACATTTACCTAAAAACTTACACATTGCCTAACGGGTAAGCAAAAAAGCTGGCATGACTCCAAATTATCGTCAGAACATTTTTTCTTATATCGATGACCCAGTGGCATTCTAGTTATTCCTGTTTGGCATAAATACAAAGCAGGTAGGAACCGAAACCTAGTTCATAAAGGTGTCTAAGGATGACGCATACTTGCACCAACAGAAATAGGGAGACTTTAGGTTAGGGGGTTATGATGTATCCAGTATTATTATGACTGTTATGAACTGTATGCCTTCGAATTTTTGGTTCAAACCACTTTCGGATTATGTACCAGATTTTCCCGACAAATATGGTTGTTATCCGTTGGAATGATATACAGAAAATAGCGAAGCCTTGCCTAAGTACAACATAATACGTCAACAGTGCAGTAGACATCATGATACACTAATGGGATACTAGCAATTCTAGAGGTCTGATTATCACAAATTCCGCCTTGAGTCTACCCATCGCCATGGTAACAACGCTGACCTACTTTTCCGAATGCCAGTTGTCGTGAACAGGTTATTTTGACAGCAAGTCACCAAGTCGCAACCAGCATTGCAGCATGGCAGATGAGTTTGGTTATCACGCTCTAATTTGAATGTTATCAGGGAATCACAATTTCAGTGCGCGATGAGACAGAAGTACACCCAACAAGAGCTGGTCAAATTAAACCTTTTCATGCCAGACTGCAAGCGTTAGTATGGCCAATAATACGGGTGACCCGCATGTTTCTGAATGGGCTGATTTCAAAGCAATTTGCAACTATTGAAGCGAAATTTTAGTACGAAATATTTAAGAGCGTAGGTAATTAATGGTTTGCAACTGGTTAATTAACCGGCAGTCACACTTATTCATCTAAATGCTGCGTAAAAGGTTAATATCTGGCCTTTGCTTTTTTGCAATCTTCTCATCAGTGATTCTGTTTGTACACCAACTGGAGTGGTTTTTGCTATTGGTGTCATGATTTAGTAGAAGAACCAGATATTACTTACATTGTTAATCTCGGGCTATCCACATGCATTCATCCCTGCAAGCAACAGGTGCAGTAGCTTAGCTTTAGCTCCTGATGTCATCACTAACAAACTCATGCCAACTTAAATAGTTGTCAACGTCTAAATAAATCAGGAGGAAATATGGCATTAAGAAATGCATTCCATACATGTTGCTTAATGGATAGAGGTCTCCTAATGTTGTCCGAATAGAGTGCCAACATGCTAGATTTGCTCTACTCAAAGTGAGAACAAATTGCAAGGTAGACGTTTTCATTCTACGCATGGATCCGCTAGAGCGTTTACTTTTTATGGGAAATACGCTTTCGACAGACGTGCAATTCGGATTTATTATGATTCTCAATTTTGTTTCCCGTATTGCCGGAGAAGCTAGAGTATAATTATTAACTATAAATTTAGCTTTTTGATCCTGCAACTAGATGGCAAGAAGATGCACGCAATGATCTAGGAAGGTAATATGTGATCTAACCATGTTAGTCGCGAATGGGAGTATGTTACATTAGCTAGACACAGCCGTGCCGAATATGGTGGTTTTCAGTACGCCAAAAATCAAGCTGATTTTTATGTTGCGTACCATCCAAAACGACCAAATTATTTCACCAGATAATGTGGACTGTCTGTCTTGAATAAGCTTTCCACTATTGTATTTGGTAGAACAGTAAAACACTTAGTTTCTCACTTTATTTTGAAGCCATTTCTTATCATCCTTGTCTCCTTTATCCTCTTATGTCTGTCAGCTTTGACTTGATGATTGATCTACACCGATGGATAGCTAGAATCCAACCAGCTCATTACGTCGATATCAGTCTAGCATCAATATTTTCCTCTCCTAAGGTTCCCAACTGCTATGCTGAATAATCATGTACTCTAACAAAATGGCATCTCATTCGGGTGATTTTTCAGTTCACAATGTGTTTTAAAGTGAACATGTATCAGAGATGATAAAAACAGGAGTCAGAAGCAAAAGATGACTAGGCGAACAACCTTGTTTTCCTTGGTTCGCATTAGGCCAATACGGGATATCTGGACTCCACACATTAGCCTTCCGATGTCACCTATTAGCGACAACGGGGGAAATCGCTATTCGGCTCCATAACCCCAACTTATGTGCTTGAAAGACGTGTTTACAGGCTCTAAAGCTACCACGACCTCAAGCTCCCCTATGTAATGACGCCACGCTTAACCCTTGCATTAATGTTGCCCTAGCCATTTGTCGTCACTTCATATCATGGACCGGTCAATTCACTCCAGTGATTCATCGTATTTAAATATCCTGTGTTGGTTTTACTCATATTTTCTGTGATGTATGGGTCTGATACGAACCAACGAAAACAAGCTTGTTTACTTAGCCGTCTTTTGCTTCTGATGGCCTCTCCGGGATTATTTTCTCAGTTGAAAACATAAATGCTTAACAAGTCTAGCGCAAGTGAGTGGTAGAGGGGTTGGAATGTTATGGGTAGAATTGCATCATATCTAAACTCAGTTAGACGGCCATCACACACTCAGAAAAGCACTGTACGGCCGTCATATCATTTCGGGAATCGTCAGCGGTGCGCATTCCATCTGACCGTTTTAGGCCTGAAACGCGCAACTCTGCTGTCGTCAGTACGAGGTTGAGGCCACTGAACTACGGGGAACGGCAACAACCAACGTGACTAAGTTATTAGAAGCGATCTAGCGCTGCTCACTATCCAGTGAACTGCACGTTATAGTCATGCAGTGTACAGGATAGTTTCTTCGTCTACTTCACTGGATGTAAAAAGCAAATATTTCGAACGCAAATAAGACCGAAAATTTCCGTCCATTAGCGAAATTTGTTTTCTAATTCCAGCCTTAAATTTTATTAGAGATTCCACACATTTGCTATTTTAGAGTTTATCCTCTACTCAGGTTTATCCTGAGCACATTCCTACTCATATAACTAACTTGCATGATACTAAATGGGCTCGCTCTAATGCATGCACGCTACAATTCATTAGACATCTTTGTGCCTTATAAAGTATCGGAATACAAGGGGCTATATTTTCTGATTTCAACAAGCAGACGCCTACATAGTTGCAGTGCGGCTTTTGAAAATTGTAGTCTGCCATTTCCTGGGTGCACCTGTTCAATTAGACCAGTGTCCTACTTATGACCCACATACGGTGCCGCGTAGCTGTGCGCTGGCAGTGCCATTTTACTTCCGCACTAAAATTTGCAAGCAAGATGTGATGTTCGAGTTACATGGCCCAGAATTATGTAGACGACAGAAATAACGGGCGCTGTGTGAGAATCGTAAGCCTCTTTGCCGGAATAAGATATTTATGGGTAACTCGGCAGCTTCCCGTCCGAGAACTTTTGCACTCATATGTGGGAGTGCAACGAACGTACTGCTTATATGGACTGCTTTTCACAGCGAAGGGGCTCATTGACAAATTTTGTATCAACCACTGCCGTAACTGATAACATACTGACTGCATTTATAGGAGGAACAAATTCAATTCAATATTTCGCACATAACCTGTGGTATGTAGTTTGATTTGCATTCGAAACCACAACGCATTCTGCACTTATTACTTCAACATTTTCCTCCTTTAATCACTAATTTTTATAGACAGTTAAGTCTGCCAGCTTAAACAGCTGAACGCAACTCTTCCTGCACTGTATAGTATGTTGAAACAATAATGTTTACTGTTGAAATTGACCCCTCTGGGTTCAAGGAAATATAATTGGCTGCGCTACTCGCACAACTCATTTAACCAGTTTTGGCAAACCACTGCATGTTTCATGTGAAGCCCGAGATTAAATTGACGATTTACTTAGCTTGTTGCAAAGTGCACAGGTTAGTTTACAACGTTTTCACAGTAGCGAAAATGTTTTATGGTCAGGACACATCTAGGTTCTCGTACGCTTAACTCCTAATTACTACAAACATTATTTTGTCTCTACTGTGTTTTATTACCACTGATTTGATTTGCATCACGAGATTATTTCCAATTGTTTGCTGATTACAACTTTCACCCTCTTTTCCATAATAACCTGTTGAGGAAACCTGGAATTTTGTTGACTTCGATTCATATTTTAAACAGTCTGGATGTGTAGACCGATCCTAAATGTCGATGATATTACGACCGTTGTCAACCAAACAGTTTAAGTTCTCATTATTAGGTTACGCAACATATTAAGTATTCTCCTCAATTATTCTGCACACTTTATTTAGGTCTAAACAGACGAAACAGTGTGAAACGAAATATAACTCAGACTGCATTCACACCGATTAAATGTAATATTTCCAAGTGTGGAACAACGCAAACATGTTGAACTCTCATGCTCCTGACCATCAATTCAGCTAGTTCCATGCAGCTTACTGTTTGTTGGAAATTGGTCAGGTAGCATAAACATGCGACTGAGAAGGAGTTGCATTAAGGAGCACTTTCACAAAATTAGAAAACGTTCCTCAACTTCTTATGGCGGCTACATGTGTTCGTTTTCTGTTTCACGTTGACTAATATGCTGCCCTTTGTAGGTAACTTGATTAAGCAACTCTTATCTAGCTGTGTACTGTGAGTTAAATGCAGATAAGACTGAAGATATAGTTCTTGTGTTTTTTAGATTTCATAAAGTAACCAGCTGCGGTGATAACACACAGTTTCGGTCATCTGTCCGATAATGTCTTCAGCAGATGTCCAACACAAAATATTGCAAATCGAAAAATTTATGCTTAAACAAATGGTGTTTGTACGAATAACAACAAATTTTAGATTTGTCCCCATCGCAGCTGTGTGATTGAGATATCTTGCTGCACAACGGTTAAAGCCGTATAGTGAACAGATTGAATTTTTCAGGAAACATGTTAAT